GTTTGCCCCATAGCTGGAGGACCACCATACCTAGCCATTGGTGAGTTGGAGTCTCACAAACTTTTATGTCCAGGCTAGCTTTGAACCCTTATCTCAGTCTCCATTTGCCAAGTAATCAGGATTATAGGCTTGAACCACTATGCGCAGCCCACTTCATCTTTTCAAATACCGCCTACAGATGGATTTTTTCAATCATATTAATATCCTTTACTGTTCCAAAATCTGTGATTTCTCAGGGACTCCACAATGCATTGCATATGCAAATGATCAGGAGAGAAGCAGAAGCAAGGACAGCAGAGAGAGAGGGAAAGGGCAGAAAGCAGGATCAAGTGGCCAATACTGATTATAAACCCTTCCCTTATTCCCAATTTTAAGTGACTTTTTCCTACAATATAAATGGTGGTAGTTAGAACTGACAATAAACATTTCCTAGTCAAGTATGGATTGAACAACCTTGTTGTTTCATATTATCCCATTGCTGGCAAGACAGCTGTGGTCTTTATGATAGAAAATTCTCAGCACCATCAAAGCCTCCCAGCAACTTACAACTTTGCTGCACTTTTGGTGGAAACTTAAGCATTAATTTCAGGAGACAGTCGCAATGAATTTTCCAGCAATTGAACCACAAATTTCAGTAAAACTCCTGGACACACAACCTGCCCTCCTTCCAAACCCTGAGCCAGGGAACTTGTGTGATCCCTAAAACATTTCAAAAAAGTAACTCAAGATGTGAACAAAACATCATATTGCTCTGCATTCAGGCCAGGAATCTCTCTCTTTTAAGTACTTATAAATTGCTTATAGAATTTTAAGGAGAGTTCAGGACTTTCTAACATCAATGAAAATAAGGCCTGAAAAAGAGAGAAAGGAACTAGAGGATATTTGGGAGGTTCTTTTAGGTTCTTAGTTTCTGTTAGCCTTGAAAAGCAAATCATTTCATCCATCTTAGATCATCTTAAAGAATAATCTTTGGCGGGGTTTGGGGGGAATGTAGTTGTGGAGATGGGAGGGCAAGGATGGTAGGGGAAAAACAAAGGAGGAGGCAACAATGTATCATAAGAAATGTACTCATTACCTTGCTCATGTAATTGTAACCCTTCTGTATGGTATTTTCGCAATAAAAACTTACTAAAAAAGAATAATCTTAAATCATGGTTATAAACAGAGGAAATAATGATGGCTGCTTGACATTTTTGGAGTCCATGGCTACGAATTCTGATATATAAACCTCCAAATAGAGGTTTACGTATATGGCTTCAGCTCATCAACTGTCACCACTGGAAATAAAAAGCAGCGTATATGGTCCATATCTTGTGTTTTCCTTTATGTAATAGAATTCACACAGGGTAAGTTGTCATGAACAGAGGAAAATTAAAATCTACTGAAGAGGTTCCCAGAAAATAGACAAAAACGATTCCACCTTTCTTAGCTAGTACACAGTCAAATCACCTGCTCACAAGATACTGGCTTTATACACATCAAAGCATTCTGAAAAAAAAAAATCGGTCATCAGTAAAGAAAAGCACGCATCATTGATGAGCTGTACTGCACATGCATACATATTCGAGCTGAAAGATCTGTCATCACCTAGAACACCTGGGTTTCAAGTTTCCAAGATGGAAGAAGAGACCTAACTAAGGACATTTCAAGGCCCAAGCCCTCCTGAATGCTCCCAGGATGAGGTTAGCTCACCCTGACTTGGCCTTAAGAAACACACCTGGGCCCAGGAATCCAACCAGAACTTCATCTCAAGCATCATCTGCTGAGAGCCATTCCAGATAACTCTCACCATGTTTTTTGTTAAGCCAGGCCACCAACTCTCCCCCTCTCCCACCTAAGCAACTTCTACCTGTAATCAAGATGTGACTTTTTTTTTCTCTCTGTCTCTGTCTCTCTTCCTTTAACAGTACTGAGGTTTGAGTTCAGAGCCTCATACTTGTTAGGCAGGTATTCAACGACTTAGGCAAACTTTTTGCCTTTTTTAGACTCGCTGGTTTTGAGGTAGGATCTCACTTCCTACCCAGGTGCATGCCTGGATTTTGGTCTGCCCATTTTAACTTTCTCCTCCATCATCTTGGCTGGAATGATAGGCTTGTAAAGATAACACCCAAATTCTTGCCATTCAATTTTCCTGCTCAGACTGACCTGGAACCATAATCCTTCCAATTTCAGCCTCCCATGTACTACTACTCAACCAGCTATTGGTTGAGAAGGGCCTGGATACCCAGGCTAGCCTTGAACTGCAATCCTCCCATTCTTAGCCTCTTAGCCTAAGTGGCTCACATCAATGAACCACTGAGGCCTTGCTGTTGCTTTTCTTTCTTTCTTTCTTTCTTTCTTTCTTTCTTTCTTTCTTTCTTTCTTTCTTTCTTTCTTTCTTTCTTCTTTCTTTCTTTCTTTCTTTCTTTCTTTTTTTCTTTCCTTTCTTTCTTCCTTCCTTCCTTCCTTCCTTCCTTCCTTCCATCCTTCCTTTCTTTCTTTCTTTCTTTCCCTGGATGGTATCCCATGGCTCTCTTTTCCTCCACTTGCCTCAACCTTCATATTCTATTCCTTGTTCCCAAGATCAAAGACAGCTTGTGCTGAACATTTTTCTAGATGATTTATTGGTCTTTTGGGGAAGGTACATTTCTACAAGGATCATGTCATTTGCAAAACATATGGAATAAAGTAGCGTTCATTGAGGATGGTGATCTAAATTGCATTAGGTTTTGCTTTGGCAAGAATGCCAGATGGATGCCTTTATGATGAAGTGGGTCTCTTCCAGCTCTTTCTTTTATGCAGGTCTCCAACAGGTGTTTCCTCTAAGGCAGATCTGTTTTCCATAATATCAAGATGAAGAAAGATGTTGTCTGTGACAGCTTGTTCACATAGATCATTCTTTCATTATGATAGAAAAGTGTACAGTGATTGATATGCTATTATTCCAAGTCAAGTAAAAGTGTTCTTGGGAGATCATTTCCATTTTCCAAAAGGACATTTAATCATTGGACAAGAACTCTTCATTCATCATGGGGGTGAGGAGGATGGAGAAAAATAGAGTGTGGTGGCCAGATAAGTTTGTGAGACACTAGATTAGACATATTTTTGTATGTGTGCTGTATCAAAGCTTGAACTCTGAGTCTTGAACTCTCCTTAGCTTTTCCCTCATAGTCAGTGCTCTACTGCTTGAACCAATCTTCTACTTCTGGCTTTTTGCTTGTCAACTGGACACCAGGATCTCTTAGATTTGTCTGCCTAGGCTCTTCACATCTCAGTTTCTTAATTATCTAGGATTACAGGTGACTGGAATTTCTTTATGGCATAACTTTTGGAGACCTTTCAATGTGGTAAATTACAGTGTAAATTTCAATGAGGAGCCATTTTTCCTAATTTTATTTTACTTTATGCAATTCATCAGAACTTACCCAGATAAAGACATGCCATAGAACAGGTTTTGAGGGAAGGCATTTGCAATAGGATAGGATAAAAGGTAAGCTGTGGTAACATGCATGAACTCTCACTAGCTTAGCATTATTTCTCATTTGGGTGACATATCTAACACAGTCAATAGGGCAAGGGCAGGTCTGTCTTGCATCCTGTTCTAGGCTGATCCTTCGCTACAGCAAGTTAGAAGAGACTCCAAAAGATCACATGACCTTTTACTGCCTCAGCCATCACTTCGATCTCATGGGAGAGAACTTGTCATATATCACCACCTACATCCTAAAGAAGGAAGGGAGCCATAATTTATGAACACTAGCAACCTCAACTTCAGCATCATGTTCAGATGCTGGTTTTACAATTTGTTATGTCTTTCCTGTTATCCACACAAAGGAGCAAGGGGCTAAAGTGTTTAGCAGATGTGTTCACCAAATATTTCAGTTGTTTGCCATGGTCCCTAGCCCTCTTAATGTCAGCAGGAGCCTGTGACTGGATCTAGCAAAGAAGCTATGGTGCCGGTCACTTGGAGTATAAGCAGTTAAAAGCCCAGACTTCAGTTCCTTCCTCTTACCTTGAACTGAGTAGAGGCAAGTTACAGGAATTGTGACCATAAAATTGGAGCACTTGCACATGAAGGTTCTAAGGCGCTGGGTAGAGCACAGGTGCATATCCACCTGAGTAAAATATAAATAATCTGCAAAGTTTTAGGCCCCCAAGATGGTGAAGTTCTTTTTGTACTATAATCTTAGATTCTCCTCACTTATCTAGTGCTTTTCTAACCTGAAATTTTCTGTAATTCTGAGAGTTTCCCTTTACTGTAGCAAGAATATAGGCATGCCTTAGAATTTGAGTCCATTTCCCAAAAGATCAGCTAACCCTTTCAATAACTGAACATATGAAAAAGCAGTATTGTACCTAGCATAGGGTACAGCTGACATATGAAAGACTTTGCCAAACATTCAATTCTTAAGAAGGCTTATGAGTTTCAGTAAGGCTGGTGAGGCAGAAATGAATATAGAAAGGATTCTAAGAAGGGAGGAAGAAACTAAACTAAGGAAAGAGATGTACCAGTGTCTCAGCGAACCTTTTTATTTTATTTTAATCTTTTTGAGACAGAATCTCACTTTGTCACTCACATTGATCTGGATGTTGAATCTTCTTGCCTCAATCTTCTGAGTACCTGAAATTACAGGTGTGTAACAGGTGTGTATCACCATACCTGCCTCTTTCATAGCCTTTTAAATTCTAGGTTGAGTTGCCCCAAATACTGCTCATAACTTCAACCAGGAGATAGTAGCATGTGATAATAGCAAAACTAAAGGAGGAAATAAGCCTTTGAAAACAAGATGTATGATCTAAGGTGGAAAAGAGTCTAATCTGGTTTTCTGCCAGCTGTGATGGAAGTCTGGGTATTCAGCTCCTGGAGTCTTTGGAACATAAGCCTTTAGTATGAGGGCTCAGGCAATCTCTTTACATGATGCTCCACTTGAAGCTCGAGGGTCTAATGAGTTTTTCATCTTGGGTTTGTTACACTTTAACCCCAAATGTTCTCAGACTAACTGTTCATTCTCCCTTTTCAGGATCTTCCAACATGATTCAAGGACAGAAAATAATGACCAGCTTGACAGCAGCGGCATGTACCACTGGTGCAAATCTACCCCTCTGGAAAAGGTGATTCTGGTAGGTGATGACACAGCAAAGCCCATATAACAAAGCATGGCTCAGCATAAAGGATGTCCTTCTGCTGTAGTTATTTTTGTAAACTGTGAAATGGGAGGGGAAAAGAAAATACATACTCACCAGCCATACGGTGGTATGCTGGGTAACCTATGTAGCATTTGACAGATTATGTGGACCATTTGCTGAGACTTAAGACAATTAGAACTGTTCAACCACTACTTCCTTCTCTTAACCAATTAGCTAGCTCAATTATTTAAAATAATGCTCTCTTGAGATGCTGAGGGTTTGCTAGTAAATCTAACTAATCCAGACACACCAGAGAAACATAATTTGTAAGAAATCTGTGGTTATCTTTTTGTTATAAAACAAATAACTATGTCCCTAATTTGGGAGGTTTGAAATGTAGAATTTTAAATATTTTTTTCTTGAAGCAGAATATACTTAACATTTAATCCATTAGCCAAAAATGCACCTAAAAATGCTCCTCACAGCAGCCCATCTAATCTGGGTGAACCCTTCTGAGTATGGTAGTTCTGTTCCTACCTCTCCAGTCAAGGACACAAATTAACTCCACTTGTATTGAGTTGCCTGCAGCCTGTGTGTTAAACCAGGTTTGATACCTGCTTTCTACATCTCCATCTATTCTCATTTTCCAGAGTTATAAACTCAAGTATAATTTCAGTGGTTTTCCTTATAAACAGTAGTTGGAAATTTAATTATCAAGAAAGATTATGTTGTGTCAGCTGTGTATCATTTTCTCATCTATGAATAGTTGATAATTATAAATATTTTCTTTCTTCAAGCAATTTGGTTCACTTTTTTAATTACACACACACACACACACACACACACACACACCATTCTAAGGCTCAGGGCCAGTGTCCTGACAGAATAGACTCCAAGTTTTGTAAAAGCATGATCAATCATTTGATCAGAAGCATAAAATTTTCAGAACTGTCATATCAATTTGAAGATTCTTAAGGCTGTTAAGATATACCATTTTGTCGTATTCTAAACTACAGAAAATAAACATATGTTGGACAGGAAGCCAAACATGTTTTTAGTGGGAGGCAAGTATTCAGAAAGAAAGGTTGAGAAGTTGTATGCTAGCTGAGCCACCCAAGAAATAACAAGTGCTTTATCTGGCCATATTTATTAAGCATCCAGACAAGTCACCATGATAGATTTTACATGATGTGGAATATAGTTCTGAGTAACAACCCTGTTGTTTGTTAAATTTAGAAACACTTACTGTTTTAAAATTGCTGTAAGTTTTAAAACCTGTGACTGTTGGGGAGAAATGACCAGATTGCAGAACTAACAGAACCTTTGAACTTGGGGAGAAAGTCTCTACCAGTCAAGTAGAAGTACTCAATTTATGTTACTCTGAATAAATAACACAGCCTTCTCTTTCCCTAGAAGCCACTATCTTTCTTAATTGGGCAACAGTTTTTGTCACAATTTCTTGGAGAAATTGCCTCTCTAGCTGTGCCTATAAACGCACACTGCCATGTATCTTCTTTCTAATTGTTTAGTTCTCCTGAGCAGAGCAATTGTTGGACTGCAAGCATGTTACATTAAATACTGTTAGAGCCATAATTATTCAAGTTAAAACTAATCGGATTAACTAGAGACAATTATTTAACTGGTTTGGTTAAGATTCATATCACTCTCTAGGATTCACTCAAGACAAGTAGCTTTATTTCCTCTAACAAGGGGATCCCTTTACAAAGAGGGCATTTCCCAGTTTGCTAATTAATTTGATCAACTCTAATTGTGGAGATGTCAGATGTTATGTATATATACCTGTGAGATGCTATCAAGCTCTCCTTTGTAGAAGTTTGTCATTTTCAGCAAAAAATTGGCTTAAAGAAGAACGATACATTTATTTGAAATATCCTGACTCTTTGTGTGATGAGGAATATAGAACCCCATAAGTGACATTTAAGTATATTTAAGTTGTCCTTTCAATAGCAGCCAGGTTTGATTAAATTATTGAACAACCATTAAAAAGTCACATGCCCATACTTTCAATATGATATTTCATTTTAACGATCAAGTGCCACATTTTAAAACAGATTGAGGGCCATAAACATAATAATTTGTTCATTTCTATGACTAAGGATAGAGACAGAATACAAAGGTCAAGTGTTCTGGTTCCACACTGGTGCCCTCTCTCTTACCCCCAGTGCCACTGAGGAAGTTGCCTGTTTCCTGAAACAATCTAGATATAGGTTTAAAATAAGCTTTTATAGGAATATGTTTTTCAGTTACTTTTCTTGCTTTTTGAAAGTGGAAGGATCCTAATCACACACTCTCTCTATCTCTATCTCTCTGTCTCTCTGTCTCTCTCTCTCTGGCATATCATTTTGTTTCCCACCTAGAAATATAGAGATAATGTTAAGAGTTGGCAATGTTGGTAACAGCATGAGACATAGTGTAATGTTTGAGATCAAATGGAATTTTTATAACTTTCCTATTTGGGGACATATTTCCTCATGAATTTCTTCTACTTAGAAAAAACGTTATTCAAGTAGTTCAGTTTATTAGGTTGAGCCATATGAACTTGCCAATATTCAACCATTCGTGATAGACAGAAAGGCAATTTCATATGATTTAAGCATCTATAAGGAATCTCACTGAATACTGCAACATGTTAAACAAGTAACATGTAATCTGCAGGGCTCTCTGGGGCATCTAAGTTTAGCAATAGAATTTTGAATGACTCAACTTTCCATTGAATTACAGTATATATCATATTTAAAGGTCAAAACAATGAAAATCAAGAAATATTGCTTGCAATTTTTCTAATACTTTCATACCACAAGTAATTATGTTGATCTGAGTTTTAATTGATCCACCTGGTAAAACACTAAGAAAATAATGATCAGAAAATAAGAGTTCTAATTGTACCATTTGTGTGTAAGCTCCACTTAAAAAATTATTGTAGGGACTGGGAAGGTGGCTCAGTGGTAGAGTGCTTGCCTTGCATACATGAGGCCCTGGGTTCGATTCCTCAGCACCATATAAGCAGAAAAAGCTGGAAGTGGGGCTGACACTCAAGTGGTAGAGTGCTAGCCTTCAGCTGAAGAGCTGAGGGACAGTGCCCAGGCCCAGAGTTCAGGCCCCACAACCGACACACACAAAAAAAATAATATTGTAAAAGTGATGTACAGAGGGGTTACAGTCAGGTATTGAGTACATTTCTTTTTGAATAGGGTCACCGCTTCTCTCATTTTCTCCCAGATTTTCCCCCCTCAACCCCAGCCCTCCAAGTCATATAGCTGCTAGGGAGTATCACTGCTTAATTAACACCCTAAGCCTAAGCCCTGAGTTCAAGCCCCAGTATGGGCACAACACCTGTCCTCCCCCCCAAACATACTCTGGTGTGCTTATTCTTAGAAACGTTCCTCAAAATACGAGTTTCGGAACCACATTGTAGCATGTGTATTTGGAGATGCACATTCAACCCTGATGGGTCTGCGGAACTTCGTGATACCCTTGAGAGCTAGCAACTTCACCCGACAGGAATTGAAGGACATTGTGTTCATTGGGTCTCTGGATTACCTAGAGAGAGAATGGCGATTTATCCGGAACTTTCCCCAGATATTCATTCTGCCTGTAAGTATCACATAGAATAGTGGTTATCATAATATTTATACTAATAGTACTAAAATTAATAGATTAATAATAGTAACTAATAATATTAACAGTTTTCAGTCACATGTTGCATATTGTAATCATCTTACCTATATTCCTTCATTTAAGCCTCAAAATAACCACAGGGTATAGACTGCAAAGAAGTTGGACCTAAAGAATGGAAAAAGGAAAGTTTGTCCAAGATTACATAGCATGTTAGTGACAAAAAGCCATAGACATTGTGGCTTCTGAGTTTATGCTCAAACTACTGTGTTTTGTTCATCATACAAGCAAGATTTTTTTTCAACACATTTCTGAATCTCATTCTGATATACTGGCTAACCTTACCCACTATCAGCTTTTGCTACACCTATTTCATCTCTTCTGGAGACATCTTGTATATATACATGTATGTACAAATATATATATATATATATATAATATATATACACATAGATACATATATGTATGTACAGATATATGTGTATACACACACATATTGTGACACATAGTCCCTTAGAGAAGAATATGAAGAAAGGAATCAGATTTATCCCTTTGTGAAATGGACCTAATGTGATTTGAATGACTTTCAAAATCATGTTGAAATTTACTTGCCATTGTAACAGTATAGAGAGGTGAGACCTTAGAGAGATGATTAAGTCATCCTATGAATGGATGAATAGTGAGATGATGACAGCAGAGTTAATTTATTGTGGGAGTAGTTTCCTAAAAAATGAGGTAGCTGAGGCCTGAAATCCTACTCAGAAGGCTGAGATCTAAGGATTAAGTTTCAAAGCCAGCCTGGGCAAGAAAATCCATGAGACTCTTATCTCCAATCAAACAACCAAAAAACTGGAAGTAGAGCTGTGGCTCTAGCCTTGAGCATATAAAACTCAGGGATAGTACCCAGACCCTGAGTTCAAGCCCTCAAACCAGCACAACTTACAAGTATAGGGTTCAGCCCTAGCCCTTCTCACATGCGAGTGCTTTCTTTACCTGTGACGCTCAGAAGGCCATGTCCGATGCAACTTTTGGTCATATCCTGTATTTTCCATACTCTAGAACTATGAGAAATATTTTTTTCCATAATAAGTTACTTAGAGTGGTCTTCTGTTATAGCAGCAGGAATAACACCACACAAATGGACTAAACCTGGACCCATTATCCATCCATGCATTATTGTTGCAATTATATTTGCATTTAACTTCAAAGGTCTTTATCCTAATTTATGTGGCCACTTCCTTGGATGAAAATATTGTTTGCACTTTGAAAGGCACCACTTTGGATTTTCATGAAATAATGCTGTGATATGTAAGGAATACTTTCAAACTTCAAAACAGATTCCCTCAAGAATCAAATTGAAGTCTCTATAAATTCTACCATGAAGTTCCCTGTTCCATTCCCCTTGTTCATACAAAGGGGAAATAAAAAAGAAAATGACCATATTTAACTAGTGTTGGAAATTACCAACACTATAAAGACTATAAAGACTCAAAGTTCTCTGAATGGGAGCAGATGTACCCCTATTTCTCCACCAAATGAAAGAAACAAGTGTGAGGTTGCTGGTTAATCTGAAGAATACAAATGGGCTGGGCTACTAGCAAGATTCTGAGACTAAACATTTAACTTGAACTGCATAATGTCTCTGATTCTTCACCGCCAGTAACTCAGATTACCTTTGCTATACTTCTGAATTTAAATCCTAGTTTTGCCATTTACCTACTGTGCAATCTTGAGCAAGTTGCCTTTATTAATTCTGTGTTACTCTTTCTCAGTTCCTCTTACTCTACTCTTCTCCTGCTTGTGTCATCAAAATTGATTTATGCTCTTCACTACCCTAACCTCCTTTGTCTCATCTTTCTAAAACTTGCTCTCTAGCAAGGGTCTGTGAAATCTACTCACAATAAGATACTAGTGATGAGATAAGGAAGGAAAAATATACTCGATAATAGATAGATAATAGATAAATAAATAAAAAAGAAACCAAGGCAGTAAGCCAGGTGTAGTTGCACATGCCTACAATTCTTGCTCTCAGGAGGCTTTAGAAGCAGGAGGCTGGTCAAGTTCTAGACTCACCTAGAGCATGTAGCACATTCAATGACAGTTTGACCTACACAGTGAGACTCTATTTCAAAAAAACAAAAACAAATGAGGGAGTGAAGGCATGAATAAATAACAAATTCATGTCAGTGGAAACTACAGCTTGAAAAAAACATATCACCTAAATAGGGCACTACCATCTGACAAGTCCCTTCACAATCTGGTGTTCTTTCCTTAGGGATCTGCACTCTATATTGGAGACCTACACACAGTCAACATAGAGGACTGCTCCATGTGTACTATCTTAGCCCCCTCGCCCAAGCCATGTAGCAGTCCGACTCTGGTGGACACAGAGGTCATCATGGCCACACTCAACATTGGATCACTGCGAATCGCCACTGGTCCCCATGAATCCACAGGTCAGAACAGTTTCCCTGATTGGATGAAGCTTGGAAGGGTAGAATAAAGCAATATTGGAATAGTTTATGAAAGGGGTGAAAATTGAGCTACAGATCTTTTGGGACCCCTTCCAACCATGACAATAGTTTAAGAATAGTAGCTTACAGTTATTTACTTGGAAATTCCTCATCAAATGAAGTCATGTATATCTAAGTCAAAATAAGTCATTTATATGCTTCTAAATAGAATATTATAATATTCCATTTGTTAATATTATCATACTATTTTCCTAGATTTAGGGAAAATCACAGAATTCTAAGTGTTTCTATTTTTTAAAAAAAAACATAAACAAGTTAGTCCAACTACCAATCACTTCTCATTGGTTTTGTATTGTATGGTACAATTTTTATTTCAGGTTGAAACCAAGAACTGTAATTCTTTTTCTTTCTAAAATGCTTTCAGTACATAGCTTTTAGAAGATTATCTGAAAGATTCCTTCAAACTTCTGTAGGCTAAAAATGTCAAGCTCCGGCTTCAAATTACAAAGAGGGAGCAAATTAGAAGCAGGGATCTATTCAAAATAGAAAACTGGTCTTTCTGTCCTTTTGATTTCGCTCAACACTGGAGATAAATACTATCACTTTTAATAGTGATATTGAATGGAAGCAAATGAGCCAGTGCACTTCACTCCTGAAGAGCTTTCATGTGCTTCACTGTACCCAAAATGAACATGAGATTAAATTGTGTTTTTCCTTACCACCAAATGGGAAGACATATTTTTAATCCAGAAAAGAAAAGTTAATTGTGATTGGAATTCTCATTTCCCTTGTGGATGACTGGTCTTCTGTATTTAGATCAGGCACTAGGTCCTTAGGCCACATGGCTGCTAAGCAGTCACTCAACCTGCCTACCACTAGGAAAGGTTGGAAATCAAATGCATGGTCAAGATCTCTGCAATTATGCTTGTGGATAAAAATGTTCATGAGTCAAATCAGGGAAACAAAGCAACTCTCTCTGGTTTTAAAGTATTGTGGCTAGGTGGGAAAATGCAAAGTTCATAGGATAGAAGAAATAGGAGTCATAGAATCATTGGTAGGTGACTTGAACCAGCTTCCACTATTCATTCCTACTAAGCAAAGAAACCCTACCCAACATCAAGGATTTTTATGTTTGATAGACCAGAACTCATAACAGAATACTTCAGAGTGCTATGAATAGCTTAACTTGGGAAGCATGGGGTTGTGCCTATCCTTAAAAGCAAGAGCTGTTGCATTCTGTTGCATTCACAGAAATCCATAGCTGAACAATTATAATCACTCAAATTCACACATGACTTGAGTGCATGTGTGTGCACATGTATGCAACTCTGTAATTGGACAGAAAAGAATACTTTAAAGCCAATGTCATCCAAATAGAAATGAAAATATACACACAATAGAAGCCTGTGGTAAACTGACACTACCTTAAGCCATCTACTTAATGATCTAGATGAGTACTCTGTCAATTGCTATTTTTAAATATCACTTCTTTTACAGAAGAGGCTATCCCTTCCTTATACCTAGAGATTGTCTTTTCCTTTATATGTTTCTTCATTCAATAGGAAGGTATTGATTTTTGTAAGATGTGTCAAGTCCTCTGTTCCAAGCTAGAAGGTATCTTTAAAGGAGCTGGTTGCATCATCTGAGATAAATGGGGGAGGGAGAGGAGGAGAGGAGAAAAAGATTGGTAAGAGGAAGAGATGAGAAGGAATGTCAAGTATTTGAATCATTACAAATCATGAGCAGGCACTTCAACCAAAGGTAAAAATCAGAGTGAGGGAAAAATGTGCCATTCAGCCTTATGCCATTCCTCCTATAGATAGGAGTTGTTTCCAACTGAATGATAGAATTACAAGGCTAGTCAGACCCTAGTAACCCACCAAACAAAAGTCATCAATGTTTCTTTTTCTGGCACCAAGATCAGTGAAGTTGTATGTTGACTACATCTTTAGGAAGCACCTGAATTAATTACTCAGAAATTTCACTGATTGTGCAGGCATTAGAGGAGCCAGTGTAGGCTTCCTATGTAGAACACCCCAGTTCTCAATGAGGTGCTTCCAAGTTCACATCAACACTCTTCTTGGCACCACACCAAAGAGGTACTCTTGCCTCCAAAGACAGAAAGTACAAAGAATGGGTCAGTTTTCACCAGAGGGAGAAAACATTTTCCATCCTGATCACCAAACTGCAATTAGCTAGTGGGATATTTCCTTTCAGTTTCCCTTAAGAAAAGACAATATTGACCCAAGCAACTATCTGACAGTGTCTGGAGACAGATTTGGTATCACACTGAAGGGATGCAATCAGCATCTAGCTCATATAGGTCAGCCATGCTGCTAAAAATCTCTTGGCCCCATGTGATAAAGGTCCATAACACTCTTATTGAGAAAACTTTTCCCATTGAATCTGGTGAGCCCTTTGTAGGACTCAAGGGGGTTTTTCCACCTCTTTCAACCATGATAAACTCATATCTGATGTCAAGCTAGGCTCCTTGATGCTATTCCCTATAAAGATGTGCCATAGAAGGTTGAAAATGGGGGGTATACAGCCAAGTGAGGACTCTCCAAGGAGCCCTGAGAACCCCAGGCATTCAGGGCCTCACCATGGGAAACGGAAAGGTTTCCCAGTAATGCTCTAATTACAACCCTGTCACATCACAGGAGAACAGGTTGGCAAACCTAGGTACCGAACTAAATAATCTGAGCATAATCTAAACATACAACAGTAATTAAGTCTGACAACTTAATATGCTACTGAAATTTAAATGTACATTAATAATCTACAATTAAGCAATCTTTTGTAATAGCACCCTGCCAGCCTGGGAGATTTCAGGTATAATATTCTGTACTGTTAGGTAGCAAAAATATTGACATTAGTAAAATATACTTGGATCTATGATTGGATGTTTATTCAAATTACCCATTGCTCTACATGGAAAGACAGAGCTAAGGCAGGAATTCAGTTGTCATCCGTTGTCAAAATCAGAAACAAATATTTACACCAATATATAAAATTCAGGTGTTTCAGCTAGGTCCCAGTGGCTCATGCCTGTCATCCTAGCTACTCAGGAATCTGAGATCTGAGGATCACAGTTCAAAGCCAGCCCAGGCAAGTAAGTCTGTGAGACTCTTATCTTCAATAAACTATTCAGAAAAAGCTGGAAGTGGTGCTGTGGCTCAAATGGTAGAGTGCTAGCCTTGAGCACAAAGAGGCTCAGGAACAGTGCCCAGACCTTGAGTTCAAACCCTAGGTCTGGAAAAAACAGACAAACAAACAAAGCCAGGTATTCCAAACCCTTTTACAACAGGAAACTGGGATCAGAAAACAGGAATTAAAGAAGAATTTCCCCAGGGAGAGAGTTTTTTTTTCACTTTACAGGAAACTGATCTTAATATTTTGTGGAAATGCCAATCATACCTTGGATACTTTAATAGAGGGACAAAGTGGTCCCCTTAAAAAAGATATGGGCTTTGAAGTGAGTGCTACTCAGGGTATAAAACCCACCCATCAGTGACAAGCTGTATGGACTTTGGCCAATCTATCACTCATCTTCCGAGTGATCTAACTATACTTAGTTCACAGAGTCAATTTGACAGTCATGTAATTCTTATCTCTCCTGTCTACAGCTTCTAGCTTCCAGACAAATATTTGTAAATATTTATGAGAGAGTTTCAGTTTCCTACTTTAAATTCTATATAATAAATTCTATATAATTGGTCAACATCCATGGCAAGCATAGGAAAATCATACAGGATCTTGCAAGCCAGTAGAGAATTTGGATTTTCTCCTAATTCATCCTATTTATACTGACTCTGTCCTGCCATAGGTCTCTTACTCCACTCAATCTGCCTAAATGTCTTTGTCATCCTTGAGAACTCTATTTTAATCTCAGAAAAGCCTCTTCAGAGACTTATCTTGTCATATCTCCACATCAGTGACTAGTTCCTGAAGAATTTATTATATTCATTACTTTCTAATAATGTTTTATTGTAGTGTGGGATATATCACTTGGACAGAGTCTGTCCACAGACCTAGAATAGATATATTTGTTTCAAATTTTGAAGAAGAAAGGAAGGTAGGGCAGGAGGATGAGAGGGAAGGAGGGAGGAAAGGAAAGAGGGAGGAAAGAAGGCAGGAAGGCAGGCAGGCAGGCAGGCAAGAAGGAAGGAAGGAAGGAAGGAAGGAAGAAAGAAAGACAGGAAGGAAGGAAGGCAGGCAGGAAGGCAGGCAGGCAGGAAGGCAGGCAGGAAGGCAGACAGGAAGGCAGGCAGGCAGGCAGAAAGGAAGGAAGGCAGGAAGGCAGGAAGACAGGGAGGCAGGAAGGCAGGAAGGCAGGAAGGAAGGAAGGAAGGAAGGAAGCAGGCAAGCAAGCAAGAAAGGCAGGCAGGCAGGCAGGCAGGAAGGAAGGAAGGCAGGAAGGCAGTCAGGAATGCAGGCAGGAAGGCAGGAAGGCAGGCAGGAAGGCAGACAGGAAGGCAGGCAGGAAGGCAGACAGGAAGGCAGGCAGGAAGGCAGACAGGAAGGCAGGCAGGAAGGAAGGAAGGCAGGAAGGCAGAAGGCAGGAAGGCAGGAAGGAAGGAAGGAAGCAGGCAAGCAAGCAAGCAAGAAAGGCCGGCAGGCAGGCAAGCAGGCAGGAAGGAAGGCAGGCAGGCAGGAAGGAAGGAAGGAAAGAAGGAAGGAAGGAAGGAAGGAAGGAAGGAAGGAAGGAAGGAAGGAAGGAAGGAAGGAAGGAAGGAAGGAAGGAAGGGAAGGAAAGAAAAGAGGGATGGAAGAGGGAAAAGAAGGACACATAAAATAGATAAAATTACCTTGTAAATCATGACAAGTAAAATTTCAATTCTCCCAAGTCTCCATTTTTGGTAGGGAAAATAGTTTAAGGCAGAAACTGATGTGAACCTTCTTAAATTGCCATGTAATCCAGTTAGCTCATGGCCTTCCATTTCCTTACCTAAACCTAAAGGGTTTCAGAAAATTATTAGAGTTACTGTGAGCTCTAATTATAAACCACTGTGCTAAGTTATTCTGGTGGACTTTCTGCTTTATCCTTTCCTCTCAGAATTTAGAGGCTGTCAGAAATACATTCAGACCTTCCATTCACTAATCAGAAGTGGCTCTTAGCTGCATAATTCTTGGAGGGATCGAGTAGGAATAAAAATTGTAGTTCAAAGCATTTCCTCTGGGGGAAAAGCAAAAACAAAAACATCTCCCTTTGGATTTCCTCTTCTTCCTTGCCTCTACTTCAGGGACTTGATTTCTCCTTACCTTCCTGAATCTGCTCTAGGTGGTCTTCCCTTTATTCATTTCCACACTTCTCCCCATCAGTCATCTCACTCAGTAGACAAAGGAACCTCTTAGTGTTTCAGCCCCTTCCAATGTAGTGGGGATCTTAATTCCAAATAGACTGTGAATTTCCATGATAATTTTTCCTTGTTAGGCAGATCCTCAGAAAAATTCAAGAAGAGTAACCAACAGTTTTAAAACATTGTTTCTGATAAGATTATTATTATGGTGTGTGTGTGTGTGAGAGAGAGAGAGAGAGAGAGAGAGAGAGAGAGAGAGAGAGAGAGAGAGAGAGAGAGAGGAGACAGAGACAGAGACAGAGAGACAGAGAGCAGCTCCTGGGACTTGATAATCTGGGCTGGGCACTGTCCCTGAGATTTTTGCTCAAGGCTAACATTCTACCACTTAAGCCACAGCTTCACTTCTGGTTTCTTGGTAGTTAACTGGAGATAAGAGTTTCATGAACTTTCCCAACCAGGCTGGCTTTGAACTGCAATCTTCAGATCTCAGTTTCCCAAATAGCATAGATTACAGACATGAGCCACAGGCATCCAGTGAGATCATTATAATGAAAAAGAAAAACTGTACCCTAGTTTTCCATTTATCTCTTTTTCTTTCTTTACATATTTATTAACTTAGAGACCCAGATTCTAGTGTCATGTTTGTTTTTTACACTCTTCATAGTTCATCATATTGTCATATGATGTAGAGTAGATGTGTAGATTAGTGAAGTTACACCAGACGTGTTCTGGATCTCAGGCTCATGGAGGGAATTGAGGTGACATATCTACTAAGGCAGGAGGAAAACTATCTGAAAACTGAGCTCCAACTGGCATCAAATCTCAGTCTACAGAAGCCCAAGCAATTATGGATAGAGACAAGAAGGGGAGAATGTAGCCAAGCAGATATCATTGTCCAGAGAGGATCTTGGAAGAGGCAGAGTATACCAGGAGCCAGATGTCCTGTATCTCTGAAAGCATTCAGAGTAGCAGCGCCAATTTATTGAAAATTTCCTAGAAGTTCTGTAAATAAAGCCATTTGTTGTAGGTTCTGAGTGGCTGAGCACTTGTACCCTATGGACAATAGTTGTTAATAATTGTTTTGGTGTTAGTAAGCAACTATTGGAATTCACTTGAAGTGCCACTTTCTACACACACACACACACACACATCCTGCAGATAGCGTATTTCAAAAGGAGGTGCTGAAGAGACCCAGTTACAGTCTGTACATGGGTTCTAAGTTTGAGGGATTCAGCTCAATTACATACAGAAGATAGGGGAAAAATGAATCTCTACTAAATATATTCAGATGATTTGTCATAATACAACAATAACTATTTAGCCAGCATTTACATCTTATTAGGAGGTTATTAAATAGAGATAATTTAGAGATGATTTAAAGAGTATGTGAGAATGTGCATAGGTTCTGGGAAAATGCCATACCACTTTATGGCACCTAAGAATTTTGGTATCCATAAAGGCTCCTGGAATAAATTCCTTGCAGATAGCAAAGGACAGCTTTAATATCTTTTCTTGTTCTCTAAATATAGACAATTATTTGGGATTTGGCCTGAGAGTGACTCAGTTAAGATAAAACACCAAGCCAACATGGTGTTCTTGTACACCATGACCAAATACTACACGTCATTTAACTTGTATTTTATCACCTTTTTTTCCTCTGTGTTGTCTGTCTGTATCTAAAGAAGGGATCACGTCTGAATATAATGAATGTAGTGAGAGAAAGTTTCGACGAGTTCCCATCCTCACTGAACTGAGTAAGTCATGGTTTGAAAGCAAAATTCAAGTAAGAGATAGTTATAATGTTTAATTGATGTCCCAATGTTCTTTGCATAATGCATAGCCAAAGAACTTAAGAAATCAGAATGGAGCCCAGATAGCTTTAAACACTTGGCCACATGTCATGCTGGGTGCTTACCTTCCTGTGGTATCATCCAGCAGAGCCTGTTCTATGGTGTTGTCAGAATGCAGGAACAACATCTGCCATGGCCACTCGATTGAGGGGTATTGCTACTAGAAGAAGGACAAAGGCCAGCAACAGGTTCCGTTTTAATGGGAGTGATGCAAGCTTGAAAACTGCCAGGAAGGCTCTGCTTGTAGCAGTCTATCTATCCAGCATGAGACTTAAGGCCAGGCTTTTCCTTCCTGGTGGCCAGGCATGTAAGTCATGTGGCAAGCAAATTTGACTAGTGTTTACTCTTGGGATCATACATTTTTATGTCACAAGTGTCTCCCTTGCATCTCCATCCTCCTATCTCTGAGAGTTGCACTTCTAAACTAGAAACAGCCCTTGAAGAAAGAAGAGAATATTTCACTCAATATTCTTGCCAACACCATATGAAAAAGGAGCTCAAATGAAGCTTTCTCAACATGATGGACACAGGAAGTAGGGTGGATGAACATAGAAAAGAAGTCCTGTGTGCTTTGGGGTGGGAGGTGTTAATGGGCACTGGCAGACACTCTGCAATTCACTACTGAAAAGACTGGAAAGTTGAGGGGAAATTTTGGAAAAGGAGAATTATGCCTAAAAGGACCCCATCAAACCGGCTCAAAGATGATCTCAAAAAGCGGTCCTGGATATGTGATTTTACCTGAATCTAGAAGACAGAAAAATGCTTTGTGAGAATTCACAATTAGGAATGCCTAAGCCAGGCTGGGCTTGGATTAAACTAGATGAGCAAAGCAGAGGAATTTGGAGAGGATCTGTGCATTTCCCACTCCCTCCTCCCTCCACCCCCATAACAGTGGCCAGGGAGGGACAGTGCAGCAGATGAGAGACATCCATGTCTGGCATGAAGACTCTTCACATCCAGTGCTGACATCTAAGGTCCATAGTTTCCAATGGGCATCTACCTCCCTGTTACCACTACAAAGCCATTGGTTGTAGCTTTTATTTATACTGTATTTTCTCCTCCTCGTTTGAACCATCTGTAAGTTCCTAGGTTTAAATAAAGTAAGAATGTAAGTTAGAAGAAGACTAGTAGGTTAGCTTGGTTGGAAGGAGATAAATTAGTTTTGTACTGGTCCAGAGGTATGTCTGGTTGCTCACCCACCAGGACTTTACAGGTTTTGTTTTGCTGAAGAATCTCTGGCACCAGGCAGCTCTTGTCAAATTAACTAACAAGTCACTTTCCAGCTGACTCAATTCCTTGTTCTTTGTCTGGCTGGGCAGGGTCATACTGACATGGGAGCTGAAAGTCTGGCTGCCAACACTTTGGTACAGAATGTTCAGGAACTTGTAAGAAAATGGCCAGGAAAGCTGAGACCTCTGGTTTACATGGAATGGCAAAAGGTCTATGGAAATGAGGACTGTGAGGAGAGATGTGGGTTGGCATGAGTCCTGCCCTGATCATCTATTATAAAAATATTGCTGCTCTTAGAAGAAAATGACTCACTATTACCACCAATATGTCACTTCCCCCTAACTTACTGTGGAATAATTAAGGGATTAAGGAATAATACAGTTTTGGAAAACTATGAATTCTGAGTTGTATGTCTCTTGGATTTGATTTGATCTATATCAATAAATGTAAAGTTGAGAATCACAAAGGATCCAAGACTTTGTACCATTTGCAAACTAACAAGTTAATCTACCACAGTCCAATGGATCCTGGGAGAAGACACAAGACTCCTGGGCCAGAGATGAAAGATGAGAGAGAAAGAAAAAGAGAGAGTCAGAGACAACAGAGACAGGGCAGTTTGTTTCTCCCAGAAATAACAGTAACCAGAGCATCACCATATCTATGCTGGTTCTTCACAGCCTGTCTCCACAGAGTGACATGAAAAAGTCCATGTGATATTTGCATCCACGGTGAAGGGGGAGGGATCTGAGTTTAAGAAGCCAGGATATTTGTATGATAGGCAGTAAGCACGGTTAGCATGCATTCATTCCTGTGTTCTAATGGAGGCAGTATCTCTATCTTCCAATGTTGCTCTCTTTTGAGTTGATAATCCCACAAGAAAGTCAGTAAGTACCTCTGCTCTTACTCCCAACAAAAGATAGTTGTGCTCAAAGCAGTCTTCCTAAAGCAGCATAAGTTGTAGATTGGGCCAGTCTGAATATTCCAGTGGGTATTTTGGCTACCAGCTTCAATAAAGATCCTGCATGCCTTTCCACTTTAAAGCATGGACCATGAATGGGCTGAAGAAAACACATGAGTGCCTGAGCAATATATAGACTCCTGGAACCTTCCCTGGACCCAGTAAAACAGAACTTGTACTGGAAGAAGATGCTTGGAAGATTCACATACACAGTAAAGGCATATGAAAGGCATGGCTCTGACTTACTCTAAGCTCAGCCAACTCCTCTTGAACCCAAGACAGTGCCATGTCATCTGTAGAACAGTATCATGAGGCAGGACTATAACAGGGGTGATAGTGTTTCCTTATGGATGCCTATTGTCCTAGGGAACTTGATGACACTGACCCCTTTCAGAAGTATCTTGGTTCAAAAGATAAATTATGTAAAGCTGACAACCAGCATATTTCCCTGGAGAATGACCCATTGAAAATGAAGCTACCCAAAAGGGAAGGCTATACAACTGAAGGGAAAGCATATCTTTAGGAAAGTAAACAAGCATACTGGAATAGGGATAGAGCCACAGTCCTTAGAGCAGCTACTGGTCCTCTGTGCAATGGAGACCTTTGGGTTCCCAGTCATGCCAACCCCCAGCTTCATATCCTTTTTACCTCTTTTTGTCTTGCAGAAAATCCCTCCAACATCCACTTCATTGAGCAGCTCGGTGGACTGGAAGGGACCCTCACAGGAAGCAGCCTGCATCTCAGCACCTCTTTTGCCACAGGTGCTGTCTTTTCTGGAAATTTCTTGGATTCCCTCTTGGCCACGGTAAGTGCATCCAAGCCACATTGCCCCAATACTGAATCCCCTTGTGGAGAGGTGAATGGATGGTTGTAGGCTGAGCAGGTAACAGCTCCCAGAGCCAACCTTTCTTTGATTTCCCCAAACGAAAACCTTATTCACACACATTGTTTAATCTTTTCTCATAATTACTAGATGACTGGAGTACGATGTTCATGTGGGAACATTTCAAACTTCAGGGCCTTGGAAACGAAAGCCCTGATGTCAGGGAGTAATAAGTGCTGGACTTGCAGTTCCTTTTTCCTTTTAACAATCCATTCCCCATGGTGACAGAGCTCTTGAGATCCTGCCTCCTCTTCTTTCCAGAATCTCCCCCAAAAGCTTTATAGTATAGGATATTAGTCATAAAGACATCAATAATTCAAGGGAAGTGCTTGGCCTTTGATGGTGCTAAGCCAAATCTTCTTCCATGTTGGCCTTCTTGTAGGAAGTGTTTTAGTTACACAGTAGTTGTTCAGCACTCCTTTAGCATAAAGTAGATCACCTGCACCCATCATAGGATTCCCATGAGTAGAATCCAGTCATAGTTAAATAGTTATTGAGCTGCTACTATACAGAGAGCCCTAACCAGTAATGCAGCACCAATTAAGTCTCCATCCACCTAAGCTTGTACTTGTGAAGAGGCTGAGGTAACATGGTCAATAAGCTACTAGGAAGGGATGCTGGCATAAAGGGAGGCAAAGATCAAGGGAGAGTGGTGAGTTTCAATATTGCTCCAGAAGAGAGTCCCGATAAAGAGCATGGGAGTCAAGTCCTGGAGGAGAGGAAGATGTATACCATTCAGATCCCTCTAGGCAGAGGTAGTGAGGCGGGAGCACCTCCAAGGTGTAGGAGGATTTGAACTTGACTAAGAGCCACAGAATGAGTGGGAAGACTTTGTAAACAACTACAAGAAATCTTGCAAAGGAATCCATGCAATCCACCATCTCAGATGCCTCCTACAGAATTTTTGAAGGAAGGCTTACATGAAACCTGAATATCAAGATGCTTCAATGCCCAAGGCTCAGCACAGTTTGATAAACTTGCTGCCTTTGCCATAAACATGGTATACCTGGACTATACGGATACGTGAAAGGCACTGTTTATACATGCAAAGGATCATAGTTGGGACCTATGTATCTCTCTCATGACATGCATACCAATTAGGACTGAGGCATGGTGTGTCTCTGGGTGCTGCCAGTTTCAGTTGCAGTGGGATCTCATAAACTCCACAGAGCTCTGAGACACACGCCGTTTCTTCAGGGACTAAAGGGTTAAGCAACATTCATTCTTAACCAAGCCAGGTAACTTTTCTGAGGTGACTCTATCAGACAGAATGAATGTTGAGTCACTGTCACTGATGTGTCAATTAACTTGCCTGGAATTAACCATTGGAGTGGCTGACAGGTTACTTTTGATGAACTTGACCTGTCTGTGGGAGACATTTTAGATGAGTTTAAGCTCCCAATTCTCTTCGAAGACTTGTAGGTGGCAGACAGCTTCATGCCTTAAATTAAACCTGAGACTTAATTAACCTCCCCCCTACTTCACTGGCCACACAGGCAGGAGTCAAGTCACAGATTCTATTTAGAGTTGGTTAGAAGGGCAGATTCTTGGTGTATTTTAAACCACTATACTAAAATATCAGAAACTAGGTAATGTATAAACAGCAGAAGTTTGTTCAGCTCACAGTTCTGGAGGTTAGGAAGTTGAAGAATGTTGTATCTGTATATACAATCCAAGGTTCCACTTCTAGACACTGCTGCATAGGGCATTATATTTGTAAAACAGGTTTTTGCTGGTGGTGATGATGATATATTGAGACCACAACAGGCAGGGTAGATATAGAAGAGTCAGGAGAATAGAAATAAAAACAACTAAACTATTAGACTAAATTAGACTTTGTCATAAAACCGTGGACATCCAGGTACAAAGAACAAAGAAAAGGTTTATTGCTGGTAAAGGAGCTGGCAAGATGCCTTCTCATTAGGGGGAAGAAGTAAGAAAAAGTGCCAGCTATTGTTTTAGATGACCTTTATAACCTCTGAGATTTGGGGAATCTTGCTGCCTTATATGGTCATAGCTCCCCCAAAGGAGTGGCCTCTCAGGTAACTCATATGACCTGCGAGGGTTAGGGAATCTTGCTGCCTTATATGGTTATCCCAAAGTAGAACTCTCTCAGGAAAAGGGGGTAGGGCTGATCATTTACTGCCTTTACTACATGGGCCTATTATTGCCTAGGGAAAGAGCATGCTAAGCTATGAGAGAGGAGGCTTCTGGGCTAACTTAAACATTTAGCACAAGTATGCATAGGAAACAGTAAGTTGATAGTTGAGACTCCTGAGCCAGGTGTTGGCAACTAAACCCAATGATGCTTCCCATCACCCACCATGAGTGTGACTTTGACCTTGGGCACTATGATGGCCACTTCCCTCCCAGGATACCTCCAGTCATTGTATAAATGGCTTCTACTCACTGGCAGAAGGTTGCCTGTTGCTGGAAAACAAACTGTAGTTACATAAAATCTCAGACACCTTCTAAAGCCTATGGTGAAATCAATGGGAAAGAGAGTATGTCACATTAGTGTGCCCTCAGAAAGTTGGTTAGTTCATGAAGCAACAGACTACATTGCATCGTATGTTAACCCTTAAAAACTCCTGATATGTATTTAGTTTTGGGAGGAGTTTGGGTCAACAATGGAGCAGCAGAGTCAAAGGACTTACATTTTGAATTACTATACATCTACCTGTTATAGGTAGATGGAGTCTTGAATAAGATGTGGTATAGCAGAATGAAAAAAAACAACTGTAATACTATTGAAATGAGGATCTGAACTAGATCACTGAAAATAATCTGAGTCTTGTTACCCTTGTCTCCTTCCCTTGGGCCTGATTCTACTCATTCAACTTGCCCTTTTAAGGGCACAGTGGCTTCCTAGCAGATCACAGGCATAGAAACAGAGGCCAGACAGGAATTGGCACTGAGCCATCAATCCCGTTGACTTCTCCCCTCCAGGAACCATTTTCTCTTAGCTAGTCTCATATAAATGGCATCAGAGAGGAAGACAACATTTTTCACCTTCTACTAGAAAGATTTAGAGTCATGGAGGTAGATTCATAATGTTCTCAAACACTCTATTTTGCACGTGGGAGCATCTCCTGGATAAGAATTGGGAAGAAGGAAAAGAACTCTTTTTCCCCCATTGAGATCAGCTGGCAGTTACAGACTCCTGGCTATCTCTCCTTTAACACACCACTCTCAGATGTCACTGATGACCACACTCTCCTCCCCTAGTTCATAGCTGCAAGTCTTCCCCAAACAGATGTCTAGGCAACTCACCCCTATAAGTCCTATTGTTGAGATGACACCAAAAATTCCTGCCACAGACAGAATTGCAGTATCTTTCAAGCATTCAAGTCATGACAAGGACTTTGCTAATCCTATTGCCTCATTAAATTCTGCTGTAAATCCATGTAGGAGAATGCTACTAATAGATTTGTTTGTAGATGAAGACATTGAGGCCTGTGTGGGTTAATTTTAAATAACAAGTTGACTTTGATAACTGTTGTTTCTAGAATCAAGACTTACTACCACAACCAACTTGGTCTTTAGGAACCTGATATCTTCAATGCAGTGATTCTCCTGTTTTGCTTAAAGGAATCCATTTCTCAGATTACTTAGGGATCAGAGTGACTCCACTTTTATCTGTGTCATATGTGAGACACCTTAATAAGATCTCACTGGAAGAAAGATTTCTAGAATTAAGATTAGAACTATTCCAAAAGATACTGGGCACTGGTGGCTCATACCTGTAATCCTACCTACTCAGGGGGCTGAGATCTGAGGATCGCAATTCAAAGCCAGCCCAGGCAGGAAAGACTGTGAGACTCTTATCTCCAATAAAAAACTCAGAAGACTGGAAATAGTGCTATAGCTCAAGTGGTAGAGCACTAGCCTTGACCTGAGGAGCTGAGGGACAGTGCCCAGGCTCAGAGTTCAAGCCCCACAACAGACCAAAAAAAAAAGAACTATTCCAAAAGATTTTCCAAATTCAATCAAAAAGTCTATATGGGGCAAGAATTGGTCATTGTGTCCCATTTTTCATGTTTTGTCTTTTAGTATCCCTCCCTCCCCAAAGACCATCGTTCATTCTGGTTCTTGCAACATGCTACCCATCTTAATGCACCAAGATATCAGATCCCTATGGTTGGACAGTGATGGTAATGTTCATTTCCCTGATGCCTGCACTAACAGGATGGCAAAACTAACATCTTTGCCTTGGAATGGACTTCTCAGGAAGAACAAACAAAACAGCTCACACTTCAAAAGGGTCTGAAACATCATGACAATACTAAGTCTTGACTTCCATCTTGTTTAACAGTTATTCCCATGTAATATTTAAGCACTCTCTTCCTTCCCGGGGTACTCAACACTTCATGGTGCTTCTTCATCTCTCCCTTCCAATCGCCCCTAATAAACTCCAAGAAAGAATGTGCAGGTATTGTAGAGGTGCTGAGGTCCCAAATACTATGCTGTCAACTTGTACCCATTTAGAAATATGGGGGTTTTGCCTGGGACTTTCACATCATTTCATTTTTTTGGGGGTCCGGTCGTGGGGGCCTGAACTCTGGGCCTGGGCGCTGTCCCTCAGTTCTTCAGCTCAAGGCTAGCGCTCTACCACTTGAGCCACAGCGCCACTTCTGGCTTTTTTTCTTTTTGCTTATATGGTGCTGAGGAATCGAACCCAGGGCCTCATGCATGCAAGGCAAGCGCTCTACCACTGAGCCACTTCCCAGCCCCTTCACATAATTTCTTATAAGTTCTTTTTTTTGCCAGTCATGGTGCCTGAACTCTGGGCCTGGGCACTGTCCCTCAGCTCTTCAGCTCAAGGCTAGCGCTGTACCACTTGAGCCATAGCACCACTTCTAGCTTTTTCTGCTTATGTGGTGCTGAGGAATCAAACCCAGGGCCTCATGCATGCAAGGCAAGCACTCTACCACTGAGCCACCTTCCCAGCCTCATTCCTAGCAGAAGCATGAATTTTTTCCAGTGGAATGTCATTTGTTTTTCCTCCAAATCTGCAAGCTCAGTTAATGTTAGATTGACTTCAACTGCCATAGCTACTCAAACTCCTACCACCATGGCTGGGAGAATATGCCTATAAAATACAGTTCTAATGACTTTAAATTCTTAATCAGTTCACATTAGTTAACACATGGTCAACATTCTGGGTGATATTGCAAGACTCTTGTTTGGGTTTACAACAAAAGAGTCTCAGAAAGAGATATGAGCTTAGCATTTCCTTTTGTTGGGAGAAAACTGAGGCCTGCAGAAGCTACATGATGTTCTTAAGGCTGTCCACCTGGTTGTTATTATTCTTCAATCACATACACTCAGTTGCATACAATCTCTCTGTGAACTAGAAGTATTTCCCAAAGGATATTTGACCTTGAGTCTTTTTGAGATTCTTAGGATTAAAAGAAAAAAAAATAACAAGTGCATAGGCTGTTAATATTATTATGGAGTATTTTAAAATTTGAGAGAAACTTTTGAAGATGAAAGCTAGAACCCTTAAGGATGTAATGTTTTCTAACACTGGAAGTCCAAATTCTATTCAATTAGAAACATGATTTGAATTTAGAAGGCTAAAAACATTTCAAGGATATTCCAATTTGCAGACTTCTTGAGAAGGAACAAGGGACCAATGGAAAGGGCGATGGTTAGCAAAGAGGAAGAAAGTGTATAAGAAGAGGAAAAGAAAAAGAACACGAAAAGTAAAAAAAAAAAGAACAAGAAGTTTAGAAGGGTCGGTCTACCAGAAAATTCCAGCAGAAGAATGAGATGAACTTACCGAATGAGGGTGACATACCAATCCAATTATTTTCCCCTAATATAGAATCACAATCCTTTTGATGTCAAAAGTTAAGAAATGCTATATTTTAAAGCTAAGCTTCTCAGTTAAATATGCAAAGCAGGTTTTCTTAGAGCCATAGACAGCAGGATAAACCTAAAATTTACACCTTTTCTTTAATCAGTGGGGAATTATTCTATCAGCATTATATTAGCTTACTCTACATTATGGCCACATATCCTTAAATGGATTGTGGCTCAGCCTAGATCTGCAGCCTCCATTTCATTCCAGATGTCAGGGCATCAATTCCACAAGCTCACTTTTGTTGTGAATAGGGTAGAACAAAGACAAAATATCAGGAGGAAACATTTCCAGTCCAACAACTAGGGTGAAGTCATTTTTAATCTGAAAAATACTGTAAAAATTACATTGATTCTCTCTAAATCCACATCAAGTACATAATTGCTTAGGTCAACTTGTCCCAGCCACCCTTAAGTTTGACTAACAATATTTGTTTATTAGTTAAAAGTCATCTGCTATGGATTAGTTAAGAAAACACCTGCCTTGTTGAATAAAACCAGAGGCTATGACTATAAAGTAGACAAAGTCCATCAGCGTTTGAACTTAAGCCTTCAAGTCCTGGCTTGGCTTTTTCACTCATTGTTAGTGTTCTACCACTTAAGCTGTGCCTCAAATTTAGTATTTTTTGCTGGTTATTTGGAGAGAAGAATCTCAGATATTTTTCTTCCCTGGCTAGAGTCAAACCATAATTCTTAGATCTCGGTTTTCTAATATCTAAAATTATAGGCCTGAGCCAACAGTGGCCTGTGGAGCATGCACTCTTTTTTTATTATTAATAAGGTTTTTTTATTGTGAAAATACCACACAGAGGGGTTACAATTACATGAGCAAGGAAATGAGTACATTTCTTATCAAGCATTGTTGCTTCCTCCTTTTTTTTCCTTACCATCCTTTCCTCCCATCTCCTCCCCCAACCCCCCATCTCCCCTCTCCCCCCCCCCCCGCCAAAGTTGTAAAATTCATTTTTTGACAGGGATGTCTTATACATCTCATTGTTGCAATGGGTCCACCTGTATCCCTATTTAAACAATTTGTTTTTTCCCTTCCCCTCCACAAATTATACCAACATCAAATACATTGAAAATAGGGCTTATACCATGGGGGAGGGACATACAAATCAACAAAGAACTCATTTTATAAATATGTTAGAAACAATAGCAAGAAAGAAAAACCATTTGAGTCTTAATCTTGGGGTTCATTTCTTCTAACATCAACTTGTTTGACCGTTTCTACTTGTCTCAGAAATATATTAGTTATTGCAAATAAGGGAAACCATGGGACCTATGTTTCTTTGAGCCTGGATTACTTCACTTAATATAATTTTTTCCAAAACTTTCCATTTCCTAACAAATGGGGCATTCTTTCTGATGGAGGCATAGAATTCCAGAACCCTACTGCATTGTTGGTGGGAGTGTAAACTTGTTCATCCACTTTGGAAAGTAGTATGGAGGTTCCTCAAAAGACCCCACATAGAGCTTCCCTATGACCCAGCAATCGCACTTTTGGGCATTTACCAGAATGATCACAAACCAAGACCATACTAAAGCTACCAGCACAACTATGTTTATTGCAGCATTAGTTATCAAAGCTAAGATATGGAACCAACCCAGATGCCCCTCAGTAGATGAATGGATCAAGAAAATGTGGTATATATACACAATGGAACATGCACTCTTAACAACTGCTCCCTTTTCCTAAGGCCCACCCATAACAGAATCACCTGGGATGCTCCCAGCCATAGATTCTGATACAGGAGATCTGGAATTCTGGATCTCTATAGTCATAAACATATCTCCAGATAATCCAGACACATGAGAACAAATAACAAAGGGAAAGAAATAGAATATAGGAATGGGTGACACAGAAGTGATGAATCCTATAAGCAATGTTAGGTGGTGAATATTAATATGTTAACTTCAAAGTTTATAAGACATACTGAGAACAAAACTACATGAGTTCCCCAAAGGCATTCATGTAGGATGTGAGAATCCAATACTCAAACTCAGACTTACTTATGTCATACAAAGAACTGACTACAAAAGGCAGAAGAATGAAGCACAGGAAAAGCCAGTGACCATGAGATCAAAAAGAGAGGAAGATTTTATTTGATGAGGAGGTCCAGGTTGAGGAGAGATAATGCAGATTTTCAAGAGCATAAAAGAGTGCCGATGTGATGCCAGCAACTACAGACAGAGAACTGTGCATTTAGAAGCTGGACCCTACTGTGAAGTCTTTGAAGGCCATAGTAAAAATCTAGGCTTGGTTTTATAGCCTTGTTTAGCACTAGCTTGAAGAAGTCAATGATGATCATGTTCTGATTCATGAGAGACTAGAGAATCTCTCTGTAATCATTGTGAACAAAAGATTGTAAATAAGAGGAGGAAAAACAAACCTAAAGAAAATGTGTGACAAAAATCCTTGAATAATCCAGCCTTTGCTTGGTTGAAGCATTGCATGACTATAATCCTAGTACACTAGAGACTGAAGTAGAAGGATTACTTAATTTCAAGGGCTCAAGGCCAAGCTGGGCAACACAGCCAGAAGCCATCTTTGTCATCGTCTTCTCCTTCTCCTTCTTCTCCTTCTCCTTCTTCTCTTTCTTCTCCTTCTTCTTCTTCTCCTCCTTCTCCTCCTTCTCCTCCTCCTTCTTCTCCTCCTTCTCCTCCTCCTCCTCCTCCTCCTCCTCCTTCTCCTCCTCCTCCTCCTCCTCCTCCTCCTCCTCCTCCTCCTCCTTCTTCTTCTTCTTCTCCTTCTTCTTCTCCTTCTTCTCCTTCTTCTCCTTCTCCTTCTCCTTCTCCTTCTCCTCCTCCTCCTCCTCCTCCTCCTCCTCCTCCTCCTCTTCCTCTTCCTCCTCCTCCTCCTCTTCTTGTCCTTCTTCTTCTTCATCACCCTACCACCTCCATTACCATCACCACCATCATCAGAAGACAAGTCTCAAGAAAGTGGGTCAAATAATGAAGCACCAGACTTGAACAAAATGCCAAGTGAGATAACAAGGCCTGAGCTCAAGCCTCAGCACTGGTACACAAAAAAAAAGTATTTAACAGAAGACAAGTCCCTGAATTTTAGAGAAAAATATGGTAAAAATTCTAAAACAATAACAAAATAATTCCTATTACTTAGTGTATAAACAAAATATATATTCAATATACTTGAGAAAACCCACTAGGTAATATATTACAATGTTATGTCCATGTGCTTCAATGCCTAATCTGTACTGTTTACAGTCAAAATTCTCAGAATGGGAGTTTGCCAAAGTGACTAAGATTATTCAGATTCAAGCTTGTCTCAAACCCATTTTCCCATATATCATTCTCTGCTTTAATTTTGATTTTAGAATTCTATAACCCTGTCCATGTGTTTATTACCACCTACAGTTGCTAAACATAATGGGTTAGGAAAATCCAAATATCAGTAAGACCTAAGTCACTACCTTCCCTCAACTAAGTCACAATCCAAAGGAATGCTAACTACATCCGCATCCAAAACACTCAAGACCAGAGGATAGTAAGATCAATATCCCCCAAGGAAATTCTGTAGTGAACATTACTAAATATACATGGTTATTAGAATATTTGTAGTTTTGACTGTGGTCACTTGTGGAAGAGATGAGTCCTTGGTCTATTATCAATATCTAATATCTTTTCCTTCTCAGTATAAATGCCACACGAACGAGAACCTGCTTTCTCCCTACTTTGTCTGACAAGCAGCCCTATCCACATTGCCAACTAGCAGTTTGTTTGATAGTGATATTTTGAGGTATTGATCTACCCCCGCAGGTCTATTTCAGTGATGCCAACTCAGTCTGACATCTTCACCATCGCTGGGTCGCTTCCTGTAACTTTGTATGTGGCTTGTCCTTGTTCCTCAGGCCTTCTACAACTATCATGTCCTGGAATTACTTCACATGTTGGTGACAGGAGGGATAAGCTTCCAGCTGGAACAACATTTGGACAACGAAAAGTTTTCTGGGCTACCTGAGAGCTCTACATTCTTGTCTGGGAGGATGCGATGTAAGATGGGTCTTCTGTCTTTAGACCAAACCATATTATCAGACATTCAAGTGAGTCTACTTATACTATGTTACATCTTTTCACTTCTTTAATGCTCTGAACTTCCAAGATGTTGGGGTTCATAGATAACCTACAGCACAGAAATAGCTAATAATTGGTAAAATATCATACACTCATATTTTCAAAGAATATTTTACAATTCAGAGTACGTTGTTACATGTTAAGATTATTTTTCAGCAGTTCAAGAAAGTAAATAAAGCAGTCTTCTCTCTCCATCTTCCAGAAAAATGGTTCAATTGTGATGCATATAACACCAGGCTTCTGCTGCTACTATAGTATGAACATGTCTCTCAACTTCATGTATTGGAAATTTGTCTCCCAATGCAACAATGTTGAGGAGTGAGATGGTTAAGGATGACTAAGTCATTCATGGGGCATGAATATCATTCTTGCAGGAGTGCCTTGGTTATCATGGAAGGGGGTTTCTCATGAAAGCATGAGTTCAGCCCCCATCCCTTCTCCCTTGCACACATGCTCTCCTGCTTTTCCACCTTCTTCATGGGATGATTGAGCAAGAAGGTCCTTGCTCATACTGGCCCCCTCACCAGGGGTTTTCCAGAAATCCCAGGTCTTTTCCAGAAGTGTAAAAAGTAAGTCATGATTTTTTAAATTTTTTAATAAATTACAGAGTCTGAGGATTCAGTCACAACAGCATAAAATGAACTAAAATACCCAGAAAGTTATTAATACTAATTACTACAAGAATGCTTTCTTAGTATGTCCCTTATTGATCTAGTTTTCTCTCATTTAATATGTGAAAGGATTTATATGATAGTATTAATTACATTCAGTAGATCAAGAAGCTGAAGCTGGGGCTGGGAAAGTGGCTCAGTGGTAGAGTGAGTGCTTGCCTTGCATGCATGAGGTCCTGGGTTCGATTCCTCAGCACCACATAAGCAGAAAAAGCTGAAAGTGGTGCTGTGGATCAAGTAAGTGGTAGAGCACAACCTTGAGCTGAAGAGCTGAAGGACAGCGCCCAGGCCCAGAGTTCAAGACCCATGACTGGCAGAAGAAGAAGGAGGAGGAGGAGGAGGAGGAGGGGGAGGAGGGGAGGAGGAGGAGAGGAGGAGGGGGGGGGAAGGAGGAGGGGGGGAAGGAGGGGAGGGAGGGGAGGAGGAGGGGGGGGAGGAGGAGGAGGGGGGGGGAGGGGGGGGGAGGAGGAGGAGGAGGAGGAGGAGGAGGAGGAGGAGGGGGAGGAGGGGGAGGAGGGGGAGGAGGGGGAGGAGGGGGAGGAGGGGGGGGGGAGGAGGGGGAGGGGGGGGGGGAGACCACCACAGAAAGCAAGGGCTACCTGAGACTTTGATATCAACCCTATCACAGCAAAGTCCAACTAAGACAACCTGACCTAAGGTTTGGTAGGCTCAGTGTGTGAAATTCTAAAGAAATCTGTTTGGGTCAACTCAATCAGACGGAGCTCTGTGATGGGATCATAGTCATAGAACCTCAGTGGTTCTACCCAATTGAAAACATTTAAGTTTTCTTATCCAGGTGAGCTGCTGAGCTGCTGAGCTGTAGATTATATCAAGGGCAAAGATAGCAATTCTGGAAAATTGCAATTCTGGATATTTGGGGATCAGTATCTATTTGGCTCAGCTCTGATCGATACTGTGTACATCTCTCTGGTGTTATCCTTAGGTACAGACCTTGACAAGTAAAGATCTTCTGTTGGTTCAGAGGACATTAGAAGAGGCTTTTCCATAAGGAGCGTGTTTTTAGACCTCTCTGTCCAGCATGTCTCCATTTGTGTTACCAAAACTTCCATTTCCTGTATTGTGTGCTTTTGAATTCCAGGTGCAAACATCCTGAAGGATCCTGAAGGATCCCTCCTAAGGAACTGATAAACTGAGCACACTGTTCTTGTGTGATTTCTCTGAGCCTGTCTGACCTTTCCACCTGCCATAGCCTTGTTGACCACAGCCTGAGTGTACGGCCAGGAATAGAGTTGAGGACAGTGTTGGTGTTAGAGTGGGATAAGAGGCTGACTCCTTGGAAGTCATGTAAAGTCCCAATCCATTATATGTATCACAAACAGTATTGCCCATCGATAGTTACCCATGATTTCCAAAACAGAAATTGTAGTAAGAATCAATAAACATTGGCAACACTACACCTAACAGAGGATCCTGAACCAGAATAAAAGCAACGCTAGGACTAAGAGTTTCATAACCACAGTTATGTAGCTACTTTGACACTGCCACATAAATATGCTAGAATATGCCATCGGGTCTTTTAGACATCTGCAAAAGATGGTAAATGACACTCGAGTAAGTGAGGGGTGTTTTGCTTTAATAAAGTGCTTAACACACCTGTGTCTTTCTCTTCTTTCCCCAGCCAAGAAGAACCTTTGGACAACTGTTTTGTGGTTCTTTAGACAATTTTGGAATCCTATGTATTGGCTTATACCGCATGATAGATGATGAAGAGAACAACCCAGAACACAGAAGGGGAGTATGCTGGTCTGGGAAGTGCTAGCCATCTCACCAAATATAATAACCAAAGCTACTTAATTCAGTGTGGGAGAGAAACCTACAGCTCAGGGCTGACAATTGCATGGAAGATGGATGGGAATATAGATAGTGATATAGGATTAAGACAGAATAGGGCTTACTATTATTGGTCCCTAACATTACAATTAAGGTCCAATTAATAGTAGAATGTAGTTTCTGTCCCCAGTACAATCTGAAACCTAGGCTTTAAATAAGAGTTATTTTTCCTCTTTTATTCATGTCCATGCAATTTTCTAAAGCTGAGAGATTTACTTGTTTTCTGCCGATATCATGGGTACAGATTTATTAGGTGTTTCTTTGTAGCCACTGAGTTTCACACTTATAAATCATGGGTCCCGTTTGTCTAGATTTCAGTTTATTAAAAAGACATCATTTGGCCATCAGCAGGGGAAACAGGAAATGTATGTGGAGGGTATATAGACTTACCCAATTGTGTAAGTCCAAGCCAAGATTCTTACAGTGGTGATAACAGCTAGTAGAGGAGAAATTAAAAATTATAGTGTGGAAATACATTGATGAAATCCATTCCGGGAAAAAAGACAAGGATGCCAAATTACTTGAGGTACAGTAGTCTCAAGTAAAAGACATAAATCTCTACTAATAAAAGGATAAAATAACAGATGCTAAGACATTTAATTCTGAGTGAGAGGTGTAGTTAGTGGGTTTTTTTAGTGAGTACTAAGATTTCTCAGTGCATAACACTTTGGAGAAAGGGGATGGAGCCAGCATTATGGAAAGCTGAGAAGATGGAAAAGTTTAGATGAACTGCAGAGGTTCCCTGAGAGTTTGTGAAGCAATACTAAAATGTAACACTAAAGGACAAGGACTGAGATCCTGGTGGAGAGACGTCATATTTAGAGTAAGAGAGTGAAAGACTGGAGGGAAGTTGTGGTTGGTCAATGATTCATGGAAGCTGAAAATACTTGAGGTGAGATAGGGAAGCTCTGGAGATGAAGATCATTGGGGGAACAGGAGGTCAGAGAAATGTACTGGAATGTTGAGTTGGTAAACCACATAGACACTTCAGGCATAAAATATGGTGGTAGTGCTGGGGTTTGAAAGAAAGTATAGAACAAGTGGCAGAGAACTAGATAAATGTGGAGATTTATAGATAGCAATGATGAGTCAATATGGCTTCACAGAGTTCACCTCACAGACAGCTGGGGAGTAGGGAGGTACTGAAAGCAACTCCCATAAACATAAATGGTTTTTTAAAATATAAAATAGTATACTCACACTCTCTCTCTACCTCTGTTTCTCTGTCTTTTTCTCAGACTAGTCTTTCTGCTTTGAAGGAAATATGTAGTGATGATAAGCATAGTTTAAAACAGAATAGGAATTATAGAGGACTCAGTAGAAAGATGATACTGGGTAGATTATCCAGTGAAGGAAGGTCAGCCATGTTTTGAGCTCTGTTTAGGCTAAGTAGGGAAGACTGGGGTTTCAGAAAGGAAAGGCAGGATGGATGTCACTCATGGTTATTCTGCCTCAGTGCTTCATCATGAGTACTGTTATTAGTCAGCTCAGATATTAAAGAGTACTGTATAACCTAAAACCTTCCAGAGGCATCTTGCTTCCCTACTAAGTCTTCCCATGTAGGCTCAGGCTCTCGTCCTTTAACATTATTTGACATTGACTGTTTCATTGGCCAGGCTATATTCATTGTGAAATTTGGTAGCATAAACATTAGATTAGGGTAGGACTAAACCAGGTTGAAAATACCTGGAATACATGTAATATTTATATGACAAAGGCTGAAGAAATGATCAAATTAAAATCATCAGTGTAATGCATATGAAAAGCAGATAAACCTGAAGTCAGAAAGGCCATTAGAAACCAGCCAGTCTATAGTAGATATAGTACTCATGCATGTAATCCCAGCTTCTAAGGAGATGAAGATCAGTGACATTGTGGTTTGAGGCCAGCCCAGACAAAATCCTATCTAGACTTCATTGATCCACAATCTGAATATGGTAGCAATTTTCTATGATCACAGTTATGTTGGAGTCTGTGGGGAGGAGGATCACAGCATGAGGCTGGCCCAAGGGTGAAAAACATAAAATCCTATCCGAAAAATAACTAAAGCCAAAGGGGGCTTGAAGCATGGCTCATGTTGTAGAGCACCTACCTATTAAGCTCAAGGCCATAAGTTAAAATCCAAGTACCACCAAAAAAGTAAAAGGAAATTTTTTTAAAAAGTAGTCAAAACCAGACTTCTTTTTCTTCTATTAATATGCAGATGATAGCAGAGGCAAAATATCATAATCATGTCCAAGGTTAGCCATGGTTGATTTCAGAGGCAGGAATGAAAGAACATCTAATTCCTGCTTTAGGACTTCTATTGTGGTATGCCAGAGATTGTTATTAGTCAGAAACAGAGGTAGGAAGCCAAACAAAAGCATTTCCTCTTTGTCTTAGAAAACTGATGTCTTTAGCTTAGTCATTGCCTATATTTGCCCTGTCCAATCTGCAGATGCTCAGAATGCATGTTTGGCTTTCCTTGCAGGTTTGTGATTACCCGGCCATCAATCCAGTGTAAGCTGATGCCCACAGACTTAGTGTTTTGTGCCATTCCTTTCAACACTGATTGTTGCAAAAAAGATAATGATGTTTCTACAGCACAAGCTCCATATGAAATTATAAATATAGCGCCATTGACATCGGAGACACAGCTAGACTTAGATCGCCCTGCAGCAACTGACCTAATGGAAGAGAAATCACTCCACATGTTCTATTCACAAGTCTATCCTTTAGAGTCAAGTACTAGCCACTTTTCTGAATCTCATCAAACAGTGCTAGGTAATAAACAGCTAGGTGAAAATGTGGAAAGTAATGGAAAGGAAAACATCCAGAAGGAAGGTACTGTGTTGACTCCAACCTAAAACTAAACCTACTCACAGTCTCCATGAACTCCTAACCTGCCATTAATAAGACATCTCCTGAGATGGCGAATCTGCATAAGGAAAATAAAAATGAAAGCATGCCATTTTTTGTGCCCACTGTTGGTTGTTCATCAAAAATTCCACTCTGTTTTGGTAGAGACAAAAGGCTAATCTTTTTTTTTATTGTGAAAATACTGTACAGAGGGGTTACAATTACATGGGCAAGATAGTGAGTACATTTCTTATCAAGCATTGTAGCCTCCTCCTTTGTTTACCCTTCTCATCCCTTCCCATCCTCCCTCCCCCCCACCCACCCAATCCTCCCCACCCCCAAGTTGTAAAGTTCGTTTTTGACATGAGAACTTGTACTTCTCATTGTTGCAACAGGTCCACCTGTATCCTTATTTAAGCGACTTGTTTTTCCCCTTCCCCTCCACAAATTATACCGACATCAAATACAGTGAAAGCAGGGGTTATACTGTGGGGGAGGGACATACAAAGCAACAAAGAAATAATCTTATAATTGCGTTAGAAACAAATGCATGAAAGAAAAAAAAACATTTAAAATACATATCTAAGGGTTCATTTTCCTAACATCACCTTATCTGACCTTTTCTGCTTGACTCATACATATACTAGATATTGCAAATAAGGGAAATCATGGGACCTATGTTTCTTTGGGCTTGGCTTACTTCACTTAATATAATTTTTTCCAAGTCCAAAAGGCTAATCTTATCCCCACAAGATCTTGTATGGTAAATAAATATATTGTAAATACTATAAGGAAAGTTGAGTATTGTATTTTCCTTGAACAGAATACAAGCAAGCTTGGGCTTGAGCTACATTTTAAATTCTTTGGATGGAAGACATGCTGATTGGAACTGACAGGCAATTTACTTGTTACTATGTATATGACACATAGTTGATATTTATTACAGGCCAGATATGATTGTTCATGCCTGCTATACCAGCCACTCAGGAGGTAGAGATCAGGAGGATGGTAGCTAAAGGCCAGCCTGAGCAAAAGTTCTCAAGAGCCTATCTCTATCAGCAGCTGATTATCATCCCAGCTACATCAGAGGCTGCAGGAACCAGGATCTCATTCTGAGGCTGAGCCTGGAGGAGGTTGGAGGGAGATTTACCTGAGAATAACTGAAGATAAAAAAGGCTGGGATATGACTCAAGTGATATATAGCACTTACCTAGCAAGCACCCAAATACTGCTAAAAATAAATGAATATTATGGTATCATTTTATTTTGAGGTAGAATATCTAGGTGAAGTCAAGTAGATTGAAATAGATTATCTTTTGTATCTCTTTTTTTTAATTTATTTTATTGTATTTGTGAACATACTGTACAGAGGGGTTACAATTACATGGGCAGGATAATGCGTACATTTCTTACCAAGCATTGCAGTCTCCTCCTTTGTTTATCCTTCACATCCCTTCCCAGCTTCCCCCCTCCCCCCCAGTCCCAATCCTTCCCCCCCCCCCCACCAACATTGTAAAGTTCGTTTTTGACATGAGAACTTGTACTTCTCATTGTTGCAACAGGTCCACCTGTATCCTTAAACGACTTGTTTTTCCCCATCTCCTCCACAAGTTATACTGACATCAAATATAGTGAAAGCAGGGGTTATACTGTGGGGGAGGGACATACAAAGCAACAAAAAAATAATCTTATAAAAGCATTAGGAACACATGAATGAAAGAAAAAAACATTAAAATACATATCTAAGGGTTGATTTTCCTAACATCACATTATCTGACCTTTTCCGCTTGACTCTCTTTTGTATCTCTTAATTTAAGAATAGGCACATCATTGTATGATGATGATTCCAAAATAAACCAAACTACTACTTCATAAACTTTATCTTTGATTAAGACACTTTCATCTACATATTACTCTGTTAACATAATAAGCAAAAGTTCAACATAGCTAGGATATACTCCTAGTTGGTGGTCTTATAATGACAAGCTTGGTAAGCAAAGCCTTTTTGTGCTATACATACAACCTAAGTAGAAAGGAAGGGGAAGGCAAACAAGGTTTCTCATAAATAGTTGAAATTTCATCCCTTATATTATTAGTATCTGTAATGATATGATGCTATTACCCCTATTTTACAAAGGGCAAAACTATGCCCCATACAAGCACATCCAGTTACATTTGAACTTGAGATAAACAACAAATAATTCATTGGAATAGATGTCCAAGTTACGTTTGAGTATTTTAGTTATCTTTAGTTGTACAAAGAAGTTGCTATCTAACAAAACAGTTTATGAATACAGTGCATCTTGATCAATGTCACCCTTTTGAATATTCTCACTCACCCCTCCGAACCCACTCTTCTTTTTTCTTTTTTTTTTTTCTTTTGTCAGTCATGGGTCTTGAACTCTGGGCCTGCGCTGTGCCCCTCAGCTCTTCAGCTCAAGGTGAGCACTCTACCACTTGAGCCACAGTGCCACTTCCGGTTTTCTGGTGGTTTATTGGAGATAAGAGTCTCACGGTCTTTCCTACCCAGGCTGGCTTTGAACCATGATCCTCAGATCTCAGCCTCCTGAGTAGCTAGGATTACAGGTGTGAGCCACCAGCGTTAAGCTAAACCCACTTTTTCTTTCACTTTTCTGAAATTTTTAGGATAAGGATTGCCATTTAACAAAGCAGTTCATGCATACAATAGATCCCTTCCACATTTTCACCAACCCCTTCCCTTATATTTTTAATTTTATGGTGTATACAATGAATACTTGATTGTATTCTTCTCCCTCACCTTCATCATTCATCAATTCCTTTCCTCTTGGCCCACCCTCTCCCTCTGCCTTGCAAGTACCCATTTCCTGGCACTTACTTTGATGGGTATTGACTTAGTCTATCTAAGGAATTATACTATTTTGAAATCTCCATAGAGCCTATTATACTTCAGTTAATTCATTTGTAACTGTTTGTCCAAGTTATTGTATTTACCTAGTAAGTTAAATTAACACTGAAACTTAGTTTATTTGACTATAGTACTTGCAGATTTATTACTTCTAAACATATGAATAAATGAGTTTTATTAGTAACTAAATTTTACAAACATGGGGAGTAAATTTTTTCTTAATCTTGAGGGCAATTGCTAAAGACTAAGGAAATCTTCCTTCCTTCCTTCCTTCCTTCCTTCCTTCCTTCCTTCCTTCCTTCCTTCCTTCCTTCCTTCCCTCCCTCCCTCCCTCCCTCCCTCCCTCCCTCCCTCCTTTCTTTCTTTCTTTCTTTCTTTTCTTTCTTTCTTTCTTTCTTTCTTTCTTTCTTTCTTTCTTTCTTTCTTTCTTTCTTTCTTTCTTTCTTTCTTTCTTTCTAAGTTACCTAAATCATCTTCATCCTGCTCCATTTTCTTAGACTGTCTTTTCATATACATTGGCAAAATAAAACTTATTGCAATTCTAAATGTCGATGTAGAGTTATACAAACATCAAAGATTCAACTTTCTGACCTTGACTTTCAAATTCTGATAAAAATACATGATGGACTCAACCTTGGCAACTGCATTCCAAATACTAAAGACTAAAAGTTGTTTGTGAGTATTGATGTGCTAGAGAGAGGAAAGTTGTTTCACAGCCAAGGAGGACATGACACTAATGTCTACTACAAAGGTAGTTTTTAATCCCCTTTTCCAATTGTATACTCTGTATGTTTTATATGCATAGAAGCTTTAATGGAAGCAAAATATTCTTGAGAAAGCAATTATTTATTATCTCAAGATCCACACACCATGGCCACACACATATTATCAATCTCTTTAGTACCTCAGCTTCATATCTCATGAGTAAAAACAACACACAAATTATTTCATTTCCAACAGAGTTGTATAAATTGAATGAAAATTACTGTGCTTTCCAATATTTTATAGGAATGCATGCTAGGAATATAGCTAAGGTATAGCCAATTTGTGATCATTCATATTGCCAGTTTCAATAAATAAAATCATGAGTATCCCTAACTTCATTCTCTAAGTGATTCTGAAACTACAAAAATCAAACCTTTCACCTGTAAGTGACAACACTGTAAAACTACTCGTAACACCGGATTCTTTGGTAGTATGGTCAGTGTACCATTCATAACTGTTTAATACATGTAAATAGTAGAACCAATATAAACACAAAGATAGCCATGTGAGGGATTTAACAGTCAATATTAAAGAATTTTTTTAAACTTTAGTAGTTTCAAAATGAGACAAAAATCCATAGCCCCATCTTCAGGAAATTTTTATGCATACATACCACAAATAAATCACCTATATGGGAAGAAAGTTGTGGACCACCTTACAATCTATCCATCTAATCATTAACATATAGCTGGAAGAGAAGCAGTCATCAAAAAGGAGACAGGGGAGCTGTTATTTCACATTGAAGAATTCTTAACCTAGACAAATTCTTAAGTGTTTCTCAGCTTGTCTCACTGTGAAAGTAGAACATTGAACTGGACAATCCTAGCATTTCATCTTCACTTATTCAGTTCATGTATTTCTTTCTAGCACTGAGTAGGCACAGTACTAGACATTGATAATTAAGTTGTGACCCTGGAACATGCATTTGAGTTGGAAGAGGTAGAAAATAAGAAAGCAAGCCAGTGTGGTTAAAGCATTGTGAATAAATCTGAGATGGGATTGGAAAGATAGGCAGGGTCTGATTAAGAAAAATACTATACTGTAGGAAACCATTTACATTTAAATCTAACTGCACCGTAGAGCTCTTTAACAATTCTAAATAATGGGTGAGTGATATGATTTGTATTTCCAATGATCATTCTGGCACTTACAGTTTCAGCAGTAGAACTAATTTAATTCAAATGGATTTTCTCTTGCTAGAAACACTGAAATGCTAGGTAAACTGTAATAAAAGAAGTTTAAAGTACACAACAGTGCTTAAAAGAAATGGAAACTCCAAGCCAGTAGCAAAATGGAAGTAGTAAGCCAGAGCAGTGCTTTCTATGTAGGATTA